TGGTAGGCAATTAGATATATGGAGGCCTGACCTACAGATGCAGATATTGTTAGAATCATCAGCATATTAAGAGTATTCAAAGCTATGGGAGTGAAATAGGTGGCTCAGATAGGATATGTTGAACCCAGGATCAACATTTAAGAGACAGGCAGAGAAAAGGAACTGTCTTGCTATTAAAAGAAGAACATGTAGACAGACTGATAAAAGAAGAGGCTGTAAGAGCACATAAATTAAGATGAAGACAGATTTTTTTTTAAACATACTTGTGTATATACAATGATTAACATATAATGAATTTCAAACTAGTTCTAATTATGTTTTCTAAACAGGACCTCTTTATTAGATATCACCTATAGTCACGTATTACATTCTCTCCCTTGTCATAAACTTTCTACGAATATGTCCAATATCTTACATCCTATGGCAGAATGGATATAAGACCCTTGGATTGCCTGTGACCATCTATATTCTTTACAATCCCTCCTTTGACTCAGTATAAGAGATGTGGTGACACACTAGTTAAAGCGCTCATCTGCAAACCAAAAGGTTGGCAGTTTGAACCCACCAGTGGCTCTACAGGAGAAAGATGTGGCAGTCTGCTTCCATAAAGATTTATGGCCTTGGAAACCCTATGGAGCAGTTCTGTTCTGTCGTACAGTGCTGGTAGAGTAGCAATTGATTTGATAGGAGAGAGTTTGGTTTTAGGTTTTGACTCAGTGTTAGCACCACTTCCTCCCCTTTTTCTAAAACAATAAATTGAGCTTTAAGAAGATGATTATAAAAGAACATTATTCTACTGTCCTAAATAGGTCTTTCTTCCTTCCATCCACCCATGACACATGTGGTAAGTTTCTATTCCAATAACTATAAATATCACGTAATATCCTGAGTACATACAAAGCTCATACAAACTGATAAAGACAAACACTTAAGACCCCAATATTTAAGTAGGTAAATGACATTAACAGATAATCCTCAAAAAAAAAAAAAAAAGAAGTAAACAAGTGATTCTATTCACAGCTTTGCTTTAGCTGTAAGAAGCTCAGGGCCTAGCATGAATAATGGACACAAACTGAAGATGGGTTTTTTCTTTTATAATGAATATTGACATCTTAGAGCGCTGTGTGAAAAAGATTCTGAGGCCAAATCCGGGCTCTGTAGAAAAGATCCTATAACCAATTACCTATGTTTAGAATGGATGTTGGAAAATATAAGCATAGCACGTGTGCCATGTTTCCACCCTGGCAGGTACCAGAAATTCACAGAATCCATTTTATTTTCCTGATTTCATATTATCTTCCTTTCTTCTATGATATAAATTTACTGTTTCTTATTATATTTTACATATCTGTAAGAAATGTACATCAACACAACAGCATGCCATTTTATTACTTCATGTTAAAGAAAATACTCAATACTGTTGAGTTTTGGCAAAATGAGTACTTATACTGTTAGAGGTAATGGAATTAGTATAATTTTTATGAAAAGTAATTCAGTAATGTGTATAATTGCCTAGAATTATTTATGCTCTTCAACCCAGAAATCCACTTCTGGGAATCTATTCCAAAGACATAAAAATTCAAGTACAAAGAGTTTTAATGCTGAGATGAAACAATTTCGAGAAATGAAACACCCTAAATTTCCAATAAAATAATAATGTATATCAAGCAAGATTCTTTCCATCATATTCTCCTTCAGAAAAGAGGGTATCATCTTGTATTAAAACCCTTGCAAAGTCTCTACACTGCTGGGCTCTCTCAATTTCTTCACTTTTAACAATAAAGTACTATTTTGGGGAAAACCAACACCAGACTGAAATGATTTCAAACAATGTAGCTTTAAGTGCTTACAGAGAACACTTGGAGGATTTAGAGAAAAGGAGGCAAACAAATTTAACACAGATTTAGTAATAATTACACATGGAAGTACACTTTACAATTGTAATTGCTAGTTCACTTATAAAGATCATATTAAAAAGCAACAATGTCTAGCAACTAGATACATTCTCCATTTTGCTCCTAATCTTAGATTTTTCTCCATCATCAGTAACTAAAGCATAACTAAATTCTCTAATATAGATCCAATCATTCTCAAATCATGCTTATACAATCAGCTGGAAACATGTCGATATTATTTCAGATTGTGAAATGGGAAGAAGCTGGTTCAGTGTCTTTAACCTTTTTTTTTTTTTTTGTGGAACAGCAACTTTTGAAAGAATATAAACACTTAAAGACAGCAATTTAAGCACTCATTTTGTGTCAGTCACAAATATTTATATACAAGATGAATTGGAGAGGAACACACAGCTATCCTAATATTAGAAGTAATTTTTCTCCTTTAAAACTAAACCAGAGGTAGGGATTTTCAGCTACCACAGAGCAAAGAGGTCATAAACTTAAAGCTCAAGAAACTACTATAAAACTGGATGAAATGGCCAAAAAAAAAAAACCCACAAAACTTCTTGGCTCAAACAAAGGCAAATAAACCGAGAAGTGTTTTATTCACAAAAACTGGCTGACTTTGGGGCAAGACCAGCATGATCTGCAGCCTTCCTGCCTGAAGCTTCTCTTATCACCTCCAAGGCCAGCTCAGTTGGCATGGAAGTTCTTATAAGCATATGGTTGGCTTTGAAAAACAGCAGCTTCTCTGCTGGTGGGTCTAACTTGCTTTGGAGTAAATGTTGAAAAACCCACACAGAGTTTTGTTAGTAAAAGTAGCAAACCTGGTAGGAAACATACAGAAAATTTGCAGCTATGCTAGTCCCAGGTTGCACTCTTTGTTGAGTTGAATTGAAGACAAGAAAACTAGTTAGAATTAACAAAATGATTCTAAAAATGAGAAAGGCACTGAAAGGCTAGATAAGCTCTCCATGTGGCCCTATTTATGCAAATATGCAAGTGAGACCCAAGATGGCCAGGTGGAAACAAAAAGGTGAGGGAGATTTGAAAACTAACTGAATTTGGAACATAATCCCCAACCAAAACATGCAACCTACTGGCAGAGGCAAGTGGAAGCCTTACTGGCTTGAAGTGTTTGTGTATAACCTCTGACCTATCCTTGTTTGACTACTAATTTATGAAGACATGGGGCAAACCCTACAACACTGGACCAAAACAAAAAAGCAATGAAACAAATCTAAGCATAGACATCAGGATGTACACAACATAAGGGAGAGATTCCACAGATTAAGTTCAGGCAAATCACTAAAAATAAATAAACAAACAACCCCATAAGCATTACTATCACCAATCTGCATGGGGGAAAAATACAAACTGAGAGTTTCTATAATATATTTTAAAAATGTCCAGTTTTCAACAACAAAAATATAAATAATGGTCATGCAACAATAAACAGAAAATGTGACCTACATTTAGGAAAAAGAATACTAAACAGAAATTAACTCTGATTTAGGAAAAAGAATAAACAGAAATTAACTCGGAGCGGCCCAAATACTGGCTTTAGTAGACAAAGACTTCAAAATAGCTATTATAAACCTTTTCAAAGAATTAAAGAAAATCATGTTTAAAAAATTAAAGGAAAATATGATTATAACGAATCAGCAAATAAGGAATCTCAATAAAGAAATAGAGACTAATGAATATATTAAATAGAAATTCTAGAGTTGATCATTTCTATTTGTTCCTGTTTTTGACAGAATTATGTTGTTGCTGTTGTTATGTGCCATCGAGTCGGACCTGACTCATAGCAACCCCTCCTTGGGTTTCCGAGGCAGTATCAGTACGGAAGTAGATTGCCCAACCTTCCTTCCAAGGAATGGCTTGTGGGTTTGAACCGCCAGCCTTCTGGTTAGTAGTCAGGTGCCTTAGGCACTACGCTACCAGAGCTCCTTGACAGAATTATAGCTATATAATTTTTCTTTACTGGTCAACAATTTAAGAAATTTTAAAGTGTTCATAATGCTTGAGCTATAGGATGTCTAGTATCAATCATTATGCTTGTAAGCTTTGTAGTAACTTTTGAACAAAGACAAAGATAGCTTATCCTTTTCAACAAAACTAATCAAAGGAATGCTAATTTTTAAATGAAATTGCTTATAATGAACAAGAATATTTTCAACATGATTTAAAATCAAATTGACCACTGGTAATGCAACCCTTAAATCTAAGGATTTGGAATCGTTTTCACAACTTTCCTTTCATTTTCACGGTTAGCTTTCTTTCAGTGTCCACCAAGAATGTTTCTAGAATTACTCAAGTTTGGCATTTTCAAGAAATTAATAAAATATTACATGGTGCTGCAAATCCATTCTAGCACCAGCAAATCAAAAACCAAACCTACTGCCATTGAGTTGATTGCGAGTCAGCAACCCTATCAGACAGAGTAGAACCGCCTCTCTGGGTTTCCAAGGCTGATGAAGCAGACTGCCTCATCATTCTTCTGTAGAGCAGCTGGTGAGTTCCAACTGCTGACTAGGGCATATGAAAAACTTTAAAACTACTGAAAATTAACTTCACAGGAGCACTGGTGATGTAGAGCCTAAGGCATCTGACTAAAAATTCATTGGATTAAAATACTCATGGACTTAGAAAATTTGTGCCATGTGCATAAAATATATTATTTTCAAGCAGACTTTAATAACTTTGACAATAAAATAACAGCAATAGATTTTCTTAATAATCTTCCATTTCTTCTGTTCTTGTGTTAGGGGAAAGCCAATTTAAATAAAATATCATTTAATAGGATTGTGCTTTTTTTGAGTCCTTGTACTGCCATAAAAATCATTATTTTAACATTTTCTATTTTATTCTTTCTTGAATAGTGAGGACAATCTAAGCTATAGAACCACTAGTTCCAAACATTCATTAAAAATCTGTACTGCTTTCTATGAAATAGTATGAATAAACCTGCATTTCTCAGCCTAATGTTTTACCTGAGGTACAAGCCTACTACACACTACTTATGTGAACTATTATACCATTTTACATTAATACAGCTATCCAAAATAATGTTAATAATTAAACTAGGAAAAGGATACTTACTCAGTTATAAATTCAGGGTTTGTAAAGCTCAGGTTGGTTAAATGACCTTCAAGTTTAGAAGACTCATGCGTATTAAAGGCTGGAGTGGTCTTAGTGGCGAGTACAGCTCTTTTTTCATCTTTCTCAAGTGCTTTTCTCTTCCCACCATTTTGAAAATATTCTCTGCATACACTGCAAGGCAATATAAAGTTATATTTTTAGATGCTAGGTATGAATATGAAATAAATAGAAAAAAAAAACGTTGTTGTTAGGTGAAGTCAAATCAACTCCAACTCACAGCAACGCTATGTACAACAGAACAAAAACACTGTCTGGTCATGTGCCATCCTTACAATCTTTGCTATGCCAGAGAGAGTCCACCATTACAGCCACTGTGTCAATCCACCCTGCTGAGGGTCTTCCTTCCCTTTTCTGCTGACCTTCTATTTCACCAAGCATGAAATCCTTCTCCAGGGAATGGTTCCTTCTGACAACATGACAAAAGTAGGAGAGACAAAGTCTGGTCATTGTTGTCTCTAAGGCACATTGCAGCTGCACTTCTTCCAGGACAGATTTATTCGTTCTTCTGGCAGTCTATGGTATTTTCCGTATTTTTTGCCAACACACTACAATTCAAAGGCATCAACTCTTCTTTGGTCTTCTTTATCCATTCATTGTCCAGATTTCACATGCATATGAGGTTACTGAAAATACCATGGCTTAGGTTAGGTGTACCTTAAGAGAGACATCTTTGCTTTTCAACACTTTAAAGGGTTCTTTCACTGCAGATGTGCCCAGTGCAAAACGATGTCTGATTTCTTGACTGCTGCTCCATTGGTGTTGATTGTGGATCGAAGTAAAATGAAATCCTTGACAATCTTTTCTCTATTTATTGTGATGTTGCTCATTGGTCCACATGTGAGAATTTTGTTTTATGTTGAGGTGTAATACATACTGAAGACTGTAGTCTTTGATCTGCAAGTCCTCTTTACTTTCATCAAGCAAAGTTGTGTCATCTGTATGTGGTAGGCTGTTATTGAGTCTTCTACCAATCCTGATACCACATTCTTCTCCATATAGTACCACATCTCAGATTACTAGCTGAACATACAGATTGAATAGTTATGGTGAAAGGACATATCCTTGACACACCCTTTCTGATTTTAAACTATGCAGTATGTCCTTGTTCTGTTTGAAGGACAGCCTCCTGGTCCATGTGCAAATTCCTCATGAGCATAATGAAGTGTTCTGGAATTTGCATTCTTTACATTATTCATAATTTGTTATGCTGCACACAGTTGAATGCCTATGAATTGTCAATAAAACACAGGTAAACATCTTTCTGGTATTCCTTGCTTTCAGGCAAAATCCATCGCAGCAATGATACCCCTCTGTGGTAATGAAGCTTATGTGTCAACTTGGCTGGGCTTGGTTTTATGTAGCTAGGCAGCTGGATGTAGTTATTTCCCATGATGAGACTGGTAATCAACTCCATGGTGGAAGCTGCTGTAAGCAGCTGAGTAGCTGCCTTAGGGATGTGGTCTGCTTCCAGGATATAAGACATTTTGAGAAAGGTCTTCAGCTTTTGGTACGCTTGGACCCCTGCCTGTAGCTGAGTTCATTCAGCAGTCTGCCACAATGCCTGTAGATCTTGAGATTGTTTCTGGACTTGAACTAGTGGCCTGCTGTTGTTATGTACCAGACCCGACTCATAATGACCCCTCCTCGGGTTTTCAAGGCAGTATCACTACAGAAGTAGATTGCCCCATCTTCCTTCCAAGTGGCTTGCTATGTGCTTGATAATCTTGGGACTGTGCCATTTTAATTGTCAACCTTAAGTTTGTCAGCCTGAGCAACCAGCAGCTGCTTGAGTTAAGAGATGCTTCCAGCTCCAGTGGGCAGGGAGCAAGAGGCAGAGCTGAAGCCCAAGGCTGAGGAACCTTCAACCAGACCTAGAGTTGGCACTTTGAACCCAGACTTCTAACCTCCTGAACTGTAAGAGAATAAACCCTGGTATGTTGAAGCCATCCACTTGTGGTATTTTCTGTTAGTGCAGCTCCAGAAGTTCAAAACTCCCTCATTCCACATCCTCTTCTGAATCCAGCTTGGATTTCTGGAAGCTCCCTGTCAATATACTGCTGCAACGATTTTTTAATTACCTTCAGCAAAATTTTACTTACATGTGATATTAATGATATTGTTCATTAATTTCCACATTTTGATGGATCACCTTTCTTTGGAATGGGAAAAAATATGGATCTCTTCAAGTCAGTTGGCCAGGTAGCTGTCTTCCAAATTTCTTGGCATAAACGAGTAAGTGCCTCCAGTGCTGCATCCATTTGTTGAAACATCTCAATGAGCATTCCATCAAAATGCTAATGTATTTTTATTTTCTCAGTGTGCTACTTCAACATTTCAACAGCATACTGAAGAAACCATTAGCTTTTATTAATTAAGAAAGGAAACTTTCAAATTAAAGATTTCTATTTTGAAAATATCAATGAGAGGTTACCTTGAGGACTGTGCAACACTTTCCATTCTTTTAAATTACTATTATCAAATAGTGATAACAGATCATGTTTAACAAATAAAAAAAAATGTTTTTAAAGAGTACAAATAGGCCTGTATTTTTTCTGAACTTCATTCCTAAGACATAAATTCCTTTAACAAAGCTTAGATAACTCTGCAATTCAGTAATGCATTCAGAAGAGACAGCAGTCACTTAATTTTGAACCATAAGTAAACAATTGGTTTTGAGATCTCTCTTGGTTTATAATAAAGTCAGGTGGTCAACATATTAGAAGATCATTTTTATTTTTGTTTGTGCTTACAGGGGGACATATAAATCTAGTTCATGTAGAAATGGTATACTGTAAAGGTACCTTCAAAGTGAACAAAAGTTTGAACATAATAGTGATTTTTATACCACTTGGTAACTACTGCTGTTCATCAGAATATTCCTGCTTGTCCAAACTCTTACACTATTAAAATGTAGATTTTTTTTAAGATGTATAATTTTAAGCTCATATATATCAGGTTGCTATCTAGAATCAGAAACTGATGACTGACATACACTTACAAACAATTTTGTCAGTATTTATGATGCATTTAATATAATTTTAGGGTGTGTATAGTGGGGTGCTAGGAGCCCTGGTAGCACAGTACCTAAGGCACTTGACTGCTAACCAGAAGGCTGGTGGTTCAAACCCACCAGCCACTCCTCGGAAGGAAGGTTGGGCAATCTACTTCTGTAGTGATACTGCCTTGGAAACCCAAGGAGGGGTCGCTATGAGTCAGGTCCGACTCGATGGCAAATAACAACAACAACAATAGTGGGGTGCTATACCATAACTAAGTAAATTTAAAACATGTGCCACAGAATCAACTCGAAAATTTATTAGCTACAAAAGTCAAAGGATTTCAAGGAAGAAAAGACTAATGAGATCTAGATTTGACCTTTGAAGAGCTCACAATCTGACAAGTGTTACACTCTTGAAAACAATGAAGTGATATAGTCATCAAAGCTACTTAAAGTAAAGGACAATACTGAAGAAATTTTCTTTCTGTTTAGTTTCTGAAAATAAACAGCATTATAGCTCATGCTTTCAACAAAGCTAGGCTATTTTTCTCCACAGATACTGTTCAGTTAAATTCCAAAAGCACAGGTGAAGAGAAGTAAGAATTACTTTAAAACTGGTTACTGCATTAGAACCAGGATCTTGGGGAAAAAAGCCTAATTCTCTCTCACATTCACAGGATGTCATCAGCTCAACTTCAGTTTTTCTTGTTGTTGTTGTTTTGTGCCATTGAGTCGGACCTGATGCATAGCGACCCCTCTTTGGGTTTCCCAGGCAGTATCACTACGGAAGTAGATTGCCTCATCTTCCTTCAGTTTTTCTTAGTACTTATTATTAAAGACTTATTTAACTCAACCTATTTAGAGTTAGTTTATTATATACAAGAGTTAAAGTTACAATTCTATACTAAAGGTTAAACTCATTCATCATTAACTGATAATCATAATTAATCACAGATGAAGGTGATGAGAAAACAAGCTGAAGAAGGCATAGTTGCTGCCCTCAAAGATCTGACTAGTGGAGACAAATAATTATATAACAATAAAGAAAACACAACTGACAGAGATGAAGCCTAGATATATTATTACCCATAATAAAACTTGTGTCCATTACAAAAAGTGATCCAACAGAATGTGTTAATTATTGAATAATATTATTATCATACTTAAGTAAAATTTTGCTGATGATAATCCAAAATCAGTTGCAGCAGTACATTAGCAGGGATATAAATCAACAAAAATCCAAAATCAAGCTGGATTCAGAAGAGGATGTGAAACAAGGAATACCATTGCTGATGTCAGATGTATCTTGGCTGAACCTCATATAAGCTTTAGAAAACCTAATCTAATGACAGAAAGCAGTTTAGTGGTTGCCTGGAGTGGGAATGGGGACTGACTGCAAAGGGTACAAGGGAGCTTTTGGTAGTGATGGAAACTTTCTGTAACTTGAGAGTGGTGGTGGTTATATCATGTAAACAATTTTCAAAGCTCATTAAATATACACTAGAATGAATGTATTTTACTGTACATGAATTATACCTCAATAAAACTAATAGAATGTACATTTTGTCAAGTAGGGCTTAATGTTTCTATCATGTAACATTTCAACTAAGGCATGAAACAAAGGAGTAAAAAGCTTGCTTATCATTCTATTAGGTAGAATCATAAAATTGCCAATATTCAATAGATCTTAAGCTATAAAAATCAGTATTTTATACAGTTCCACTTAATAGTTACGAAGAAACTTGGCAGCAAAATATTTAAATGGTTAGAACTCCAGGTTCTCAAAGGATAATGACAACCATCTAAATTCCAATCTCCCCAATTTTACCCTCTAAAAATGACACAGATCATTGAGGAAAGCAAATAGGAGCAATGACAGCTAATGCCTACGGCATAATCAGAAACACAGAACAATATCTCATTTCATATGTAATCAAGGAAACAAAAATCTGAAATCAACTGGCTCAACTCTGGAGCTTGTCCAAAGTGGAACATCTGATGGTAACTATACAAGACAGAAATGAGTGTTGGGGACTTCTGGTAAGATGAAGGAATAGGCAGACAAGTGACACAGATCCCCTTCAACAAAGAAAAGAAAAACCAATTGACAGAG